TTAAGTACGCAATATTTTTCATATTTTCACGAATAACGCAAGAGTACTATGGAACTGTTTTATTCTTGTAAGTATATGTTTTGTTCCTCATTTCGTGAGGGTTGGCACAATTTTATTAAATGAAACTTTAAACTTACCCATGCCAAATTTGTCTCTATGTCCCAACGTAGTTTCTTTTATTTCGTTGTTTTTGTAATTTCACAAGTGACATATTCGTTATCTGATATTTTGGTTTTATTTGTATACCAAACTTTAGGGAAAGACTAACAAACTCAAGAATCTCTAGATGTGTCTCTGTGTGTGTTATGTATCCCTCATCTTAGGTTTTAGTTTTATAAATTTTCAAAAGAAATGAGAAGGTCGTTTTACTAGCTTTTCGTTCGTTCGTTCTACTAGCTAATTTCCTAATATAGGATATACATCCTACTAATGACTGCCTCGGTAGTGCAGTGGTAGCGTATGCGACTGCTGTCCGCGGGTCGCACCAAATGTTTATATGATCTGCAAATATTTCGGAGTTTGGGTATCTTCTATGTTGTGCATGTTTTTACAAAAAAAAAAATTGTTAGTCAATCTAGCTTTCGTAGTATTAGGTCTGCTTAGTTTGAAACTAGATGGCGTTGTGTGTTAGATGTTCGAAATATAAAATGTTAAAACTAATATTATTCTTATAATATTAGTTTTAAAGTTTATACCTACCATCCAAAGTTTATGTTAGGTATACAAAACTTGAAGTACATTTTTGAATATATGACAGCCAACTTTCACTGTAGTCAGTCAGTATTCAGTGTGCGATATCCGGTTGTCCACCTTGCCTTGACTTAAAGAAGTTGATGTGCGTATCCTGCCGTGGGTGCCTATCTAACGCAAAGGTATTTTTTATTTTAGGTTTCTGACTTGTAAAGTTTTCAACGAATAAACCACAAAGACTCGTAGTCTTAAATCAATTAATCAGCCCCTCAATGTCCACTGCTGTATATAGGCCTCTTCTCAGTGCCCCGGTCCTCCGCCTTTCAATTCGAAATAGATTTTAAAACCGGCTTGGTAGACCTGCAGATATAGCTTATACGCCGTTTTAATCGTTTTCCCATGTTTAAAAGTTGTGGTTGTTGTTTTCGACACATGTTTAAAAGTTAATAATATTATGAGTTTTTTCTTGCGACTTCGTTTTTGCTACTCCTCTGTACAATTCGTTTTTTTCTGGAGACAAAAGAAATAAACAAATCCACATTAGTATATCTATAATCGTAAAATGGAGTTTAAATTATTAATAAATTATAATTAATTCAATTATTAATTAATTTTAACTCCTTTTTTCCTTTAAGAGTTTAACCAATTGTTTTTAAGTTAATCCGTTTATTTCTTGATTGTTTGTTTGTTTGTTTCTAAAATTATTGTAATTTTTAAAGTATTACATGGTTAATCTTTTTATTACGATTATAGAATATAGGTAGGTATGTACAATCTGCTTAGTAAACAGAATCGATAAATATATGGCAACTTGCTACAGTTGAATTATTTATCGTGGCGCTGACAACCCTGTAACATTTTTGGTATAGAGTTAAATGTACTTAATTGGTTAACTCATTAGTACCTCACTTTGATTTTACCAATGTTTATTTTAGAAAATAATAATTGTATCTGATCGATTCGTGAACTAATCTTTTGTGTTATGCGGAAGCATATTGTTTCATAATACTTCGAGTTTTTTTTTTCATTATAACTTATAGCATGCGTTTGTCAACCCTGTACTACCGACTAAATTAACCTTTCTCATTTGAGTTTACGAGCACACGCTATTTCACTCTTATGCACACCTACCATACGACTAAATCTATAAGGATCTCTTATTTCACATAAAAGTATTGAATAATTTAACACCTGATAAAGGATATGTGAAGTGAACGCATGTTACACCCAAATGTTCAGGTAAACATGAAGTAGAGTCAGTTCATTCAGAGAAGTAGAGTTCAGTCAACTTTGCTATCGTTACTTCTTGAATGATGTATCGTTTTAGTTGTAGGTAAGTTTTGAGCTAACAAATAAAACAATAGTATTTGTTAGAGTTTTGAGCATCTAATTTCCTTGTGATTGTTATTATGTAAACAATACCTAAGGTTGTAGGTAAATTGGAAAAAGTCAGAATAATAATATAATACTATCTTTATCCGTTTCTTAAACATCTAACAGTCCAGTGGCTGGGGTTTCCTATTAATCAATTAGAAGCCTGTGTTAGGAGACTTCACTCCTCCTAATAGTTTTTACAATAGTGTATAAGTAGAAAAGAAAGAAATAAAATAAACATGCAAATGTATTATATAAACCAAACCGAACACACATTTAGATACATTTTATACACACATTTGTTTTTATTAGTCTTATTCTGCAAATCTTGAGTTGGTAGGTAAGTAATGAAGGTAAGTATTGAGTTAATGTGCTTATACATAGTTCATAGAGTAACAAGTTGGCTTATTGCCACAATATGACTAGCTCCTTAGCTATATGGTGTCAAATATGCCTATTGAGTCAGGGGTCGCGTTTTTAATTTTCGCTCAGGAAAAAAATTCACGTGATGAGCTGATATGATATACATGTTTTGTGTGGTAATTATGATATGGCATTTTTGATTCCTTTATATTCAGTATATAAGAGTTACAAGCATTAACTATTCATTATTTAAGCTTTAAACATTACAGACTTGACAAGATATATTACTTATTTATAAATGTTTAAAATATTTAGGTAAAGAGGGGGTCAAAAAGATTTTTTTACCGACTTCTGCTAAAAATGTAAATGGTTCAAAAGGCATCGAAGAATTTAGTACCTACTTTTCTGAGTGCAAGGTATCAGCACTATATCCTCTACCTAGCTTCCTTACAAAAAAACAGAACAGATCTGTTCGGTTTACGTCAGAATATTTTTAATTCTTAATGATACAGGCCTGACAGAACAGATCTTTTCGGTTTAAGTAAGAATATTTTTATTCGTAATAACACAGTGACACAGTCCTGAGAATTTGGTAATTACCTACTTAAAATTGACTTGTAATGAGCTGCAAGAAGTCCTTTATGGATTTTTATAGAACATTTGGCATTGCCATCCTCATCGTTGGTTTTCAGATGTAAAATACGCAAATCAATGTCTCGCCAACTTCCTTTCTACGCCTTTATACGCACATGTTTTATAGGAAAAGATTAGGTTTTTTATAGATTGATGGAAAATGTGTCAAATGTGTCTTCCAACTCCAACCTGATAACGATGAAACAACCATATCTAGTAGGTACACGCCTATCTAAGAGCAATATACCTACCTAGAGAGCAATATACATAGAGTGGAGTGATCTAATACTTAACAGCTTGATATTCACAACGATAGTTAAATCAACTAAACACGTTCCTTATTAGAATCTGGAAAATGAAACAGTGGCCCACCTAATACTTACTAGGTAGGTAGGTATAGTTGGGTATAACATCACGTTATACCTACCTACAAAGAAAATGTAGGTACGTTTCTTGCTTCATTATCGAAAGGTTGACACATAAGGGCGGCCTTTGGAGGTGGTGAGCAGGGCGCCCTGGGCCAGGCTTTCAGTGTCCGACTGTCTTCGGCTTATGCTTTTATGTTCGAGAAAGAGTATGTGTTGCGTTGCATTTTTTGTTGCAAGTATCATCATTAAAAGTATCTGGGTCCTTGCAATGATCTGCCCGCCCGGGGCCTCGCATGACTAAGGCCGCCACTCTTGAAGTCTTGACACATGGTTAGAGTTGGAGTTTTATTGAACAGTAGGTACCTACCTAAAGGGGGTACCTGAGGTAAGGATTGTTAAACAGTTGTAGTGATCTCGGTGTGATCCTTCATTATGTTTAGTGTGTTAGGATTAATTTAATTTCACATTATTAACAAATAAGTAGTGCATGATGTGCTTACCTATAAGAAATTGTCGCACTCAAGGTTATAAGTCTATTGAATATATCTAATGTCTCTGTATTAGTGTATATAATTGTTAGTGAGCCAAATAAAAAAAAAAGGAGAATGTCCTCGTTTTTATTTATCGAATAGCAAACGTTTGTCTAAACATCAGTGTAATGAGTTTCATGTGCTCTAAATTCTATTACTTAACACTTTAGGTGAGAAAAAAATACCGTTTGAAAAAGTCTCAAAATAATTTAGTGCGCGGTGAAGTTGTCTTGAATATTGATAAAGTTACATCTTTAAAAGTTGTATATTGTATAATACTTTCAACTCTGTCTAACACACTCAAAAGTCTATTCCGAATGTTCGTCGTCTCGCTCTAATAAACTGATCTGTTTTTATGGGCGGCGCACTCGCTCAGTGATTGCGCGCGCGTTTTCACTGACACCATTTTCATGAAAAAATATATTTTTAAGCGTCTCCAACGGTATTAAACAAATCTTTTGATATGAAGATTTTTAATTGATTCATGTAAACCTCTAGATATTTTACTATTTAGTAATCGATATCTAGTCGACGATAAAAACCAAAACTTATTCTCAGTAATACAACTCAGTCTAAAAAGAAATGAACAAATATGAATTAGAATTATTATTTTTATTGTTATTGAAAAGCTTAGGGGGTAGAGTGGCACAGAGGAGGGGAGGTATGTGTGACAGCGGGTAGAGCGGCCAGTGGTTGGTCTGGGGAGGCGGCACGTCCGCCCGCCCCGCCCCGCTCGCCACCGCTCCCGCGCACTCAGTCCGCGCTCAGCCGCCGTACCGTTTCCGTCTGTGTGACACGGACTGCTCAACCGATATTTACATACGTGTTTAACAATCCTTACAGTTAATTAGTTGCTGTGTATTAAGTTTTATAATTGAAAAATAGTGCTTGTTTTTTAAATATATAAGTAAAATGATTAAATTTTTGTAGCTTCGAAAATTTGCAATCGGTGAATGAAAATGCATGAACGGAAACAATGTTTGGGACGCTGCCAGTGAGATGTTGGGTGGTTTGTGTGGACTGAAGTACTGAGGGTCGTTTGATGGATGTGGAAAGCGCGGAGTGCTGGGCCGGGAGGGACAGGATGGTGGCCGAGGAGGGCAAGACTAGAGCTACGGACTTTTCGATTGCGGCGATTATGGCCCGCGCCGCAGAGCCGCGCAGCCCCGTCGCAAGATCCCCGCCACTTACCGGTAAACTAGGCATAATTAATAATTAAATTATAATAAAAAAATATGGTTTATTTTTAAATATGTAGTGAAAAGTGTCATTTTTAAATGGGCGCATAATGTAACCTATCTTTAATAGGTTATATTAATAATGGAGATGTTATACTTCATTCAAAACTATCGCGACGGCCATAAATATGATTGGAGTAGTAACTTTTCTGTATAATATTAAAACACAATCTAAAAGAAGAATATTCAATAATTGTTTCGGTAGTTTTTTTAAAATCTTGGTATAGATTAAATAAGGTATGTGATTAAAGTCGCAATCCAATTTCAACAATTAGTTGACAATTTCTTTTATTATTTCTTTACTTATTATCAAGTTATAAATAATTAATTTTAAAACCTTTTAAGAGTTTGGTAGCATGTTACACGCCGTCAAAATCGTAACTGTACCTATTTTATCGTAGGCCATGAATTCAAATTTTATAGAGGTGACGTTACAGTATCTGATTTGATATATCTACCTAAATAGTAACCTAGGTAATTAAACACGTAGGTATAGTTGTATAGAACATTTCAATCTTCGGGAACTTTAGTTTCATTTCCGTGAAGGGTCGTTATCAAGTAAATATTAATTGTAAGTTTTAATGTATGCGAGTACCTACTTACCCACCTAGGTAATTGTGACAGCTGATTACTTAAGGCCTATGGGTAATTATTTAATATAATTACTATTATTACCTATCTGTACCCTTCCACTGACATATTGTGGTTGCATTGATGAGAAATGAAGATCAAAACTCACACGATAAATAGATAAAAACCACCTTTGAAGCGGGTTGTAAATATACAACCCGCTCAAAGGTTCAATAATGTTTTTGAGCTCATTCGTTGCAGAACTTTTTGAGATTTTGAAGCGTACACAAACCAACTTAACATTTTTATATAAGTATAGATATATATAGAACTATAGATCACCAGCTCGGCTTCTTGAAACTGCCTTTTAACAATCTCTATCTGATAGGTAAGCATTAGTTAGATATCAGCTCTATGGTTCAGTAATAGATAACTAGATAATTTTTTTTATTTTATTGCCAAACGAAATTACCGAGATTATTACCCATTGGCCTATTTCAACATTAAAAAAACAATTTTACCGTATTTTAAGGGTAAGTCGCGGGATTGACGACCGGTTTAAAATATTTACAGAATTATTTCTCTTTTATCTAAACCTGGTTGCCAATAAAGAAAAATAATTATGTTTTAGAAACTAGTTACTAACACAGAATGTTGTTATTCTACGGTGAATGTAAGAAACTGTTATTTTGAAACTCTTCCAACAACATATCTGAAAAATAAAAAATAATATAACTAATAAATATACATACATAAGAAATAATTTTTTGGCTGTAAGTAGTAGTAGGAAATTAGAGCCACAAGACCTCATTTTGTAGAAATGAATTCTATTACTGTACTTATTTCAAACACAATTTTAGAGAGTAACCACTGCTCGCACTAAATATTTAAAAAATCAATTCATTTAGTATTTAATAATCAACATTAGATTTCTATAATTACTGATAGTGGGACGAGTTCTTGTCATTGTACATTAGAAACTTATTTCTAATCAAGGATTGTAGGTCGGAAGAGTTTCGAAAGAAGATCCAACCTTCTGAGTTGGTAACCAGTTTCGAAAAAAGAATTATTTTTCTTGATTGGAAAACATGTTTCGATTGAAGAGAAACAATTCTATTTTGGAAACTGGTTTCCACCCATTAGTTTCCAATATGTCTGAAGGGAACTGATCATATTTATCTTTTTACGGTTCAAATAATATATAGGTACCTACTTGCTTGAAGGTACTGTAGTTTGGTGAAATTACCAACTCCTCAAATTTACTTATGAATTTCATTGCTTGTTCCAAGACAATTTAATTTTAGTTGAGACTTAATGAGTGTCATCTCTCGGTGTGTTCCTGGTCCACTGTCGTTACAGGAGTCACAGTAGTGAGCGTGTGAGAGGGATTAATCCCATTAGTTTCTCGAAATCGTCTTAGAAATTAATTATACTCAACTTGCTAAGCAATGTTATACATCGAGGAGTAGTAAATAAGATCTGATGCTAATTGTAGTGTGATTAAGACCATTCGATACGCTGTGTACATAGAACACTTAAGTTGAAACCTAAGAACGATCGAATACAACGAACATCATGTAAATAATGATAATCTTATAAGAGGTAACCTCTATACGCCTGTAATTATCACCAAGAAGTTAGAGCCATTAATTATTTATGGTAACTACTATGGTATTATGGCTGGTCGAACGCGACGCGCACAAAAGAACATTGCTCAAAACCAATAAACTCTGAGCCATATTTAAAAAAGGGTTTAATGCTAATTGGTGTTGTGGAGGCATGCGCAGGCGTCGTGTTACGGGTCAGTTCGTTATTTCAGATTAATTGTGTGGAACCGAACGCAGCCGACATAGCCCGATAACTTCTGACCACGGCCACCAGAGTGGGACACGCAACTTATAACAAATACTAAAATTATTAATTGCAATTTTTCATACATCTGCAGGATACGTCTGCCATACTGGAATCGTCTGTAACGTTTTTTATTGACTCACCTTAAACTTCAATTAACGCTCATTTATTAAAGATATATAAAAGTGCAATTAAGGCTTATGGATTGATAAACTGATATATCCTTTTCATTCCTATTCTATGGGTATTTATCATGCAAATGCTACTTAATAAAAAACATATAATAGAAGAGAACTTAATAACAATTAGAAGTTGCATATGATATGACTGCCAATATTAGGTAGGTACGAGATAAATACTGGGTATGGACATATCTACCAATATTGAATCAGTTCCACAGATATTCATAATACACTAACAAAATACGATTTTATATCGCCGATTTCTAAATTTACGTCTTTCAATGAAAACGGAATGATACCCACTGCACTCAACGTTGATTGAAAGTTAATACATCCATAATACCTGTCTACCTACCTAGGAGGGTACATTCACATTTACCTACATAATAGTTTCTAGTACCTAAGGTAAATCTATACCAAGAGCTTCAAAAACATTGTTTAGGACCTTATTGTGTCTAAAACAGTATTAGAAGAGGACGGTTATAAGGCCATCGACCACATTATTGATATAAATTAAATAAATTAGTAAAACTAAAAAGAAAAGCACCTCAATCAATCTCCTTGCTTCACCAGCAGAGCACCTTCAATATGTGAATTTATAGTAGGTAGGTATTGTCATCTAGACTATGGTTCGAGGACCTACACATAAAATGTTGTTTCCATACGATAATTTTAACAATATTTAAATTAACTGCCAATATGTTTAGTTGCAAGTGACGCGGATAAAGACGCGTGTTAAAGTTTAAAATCCTATATACGTGCTTCGTGAATATTAACCTATTCTTATTACCTTTTATACCTTTAATTGTTAGTGACGTTTTCTGTGATTGCTGTCATGTCATGCTGCGTTTACGCTGATTTGGTCAATGAATTTATTAAGTAATGTAGTTGCTAATGTAGTTATTAAGTAATGTGGTCATACAAGGCCGACTATATAACACCGTCTGTGAAATTCGTGAAATATACCTAAATTCCACATAAAATAGATTTTTTTTATGGTTTGAATTAAAAAAAAACAGAAATTGGAAACGAAGATGTGAGGTAGGAGGGGAAATGGGTGCGCGCGGGTGACAGCGCTGACGAATAGTGAGACAGTTCAATTCGCGACGAAAGGAGGAGACGTGGTCGTATTTGCGAAGGTTGAAGACGAATCGAATGCAGTTATTCAGAAGGCGGTAATATTTATTGAGAAGATCTGCATTCAGGTCATAATACCATACATCACCATAATCCAAGATGGGGACAATAAGGGTCTGTACAAGCATCGCTTTCGTCTCGGAGGGAAGGAAATTCTTAAGCCGATAAAGGGCACTTAGCGTACCTGTGTGTCTCAAGCTGACGCTCGTGACCTGTGTTTGCTCGCTGAGCTTAGATTCGATAATTAGGCCTAGGTTCTTAACAGCAGGATTAAAAGGAATGACTATGCCGTTAAAGGTAATGGGTGGCAGTTTACCTTCTAACAGGTCTGCAATCCAATCATACGTTGACTGCCTATGATGAGAGCTTGATTCTTCACTGGGTTTAAAGTCAAACCAAACCTAATAGCCGTAATAATCGTTGTTGACGCTATGTTGTCTATCGAAGCTAGATTATAGAGTTGCAAACCATCGGCGTAAAGATGGTACGCACATTGAAGGTTTGGAATGATGAGATTGATAAATATTGAAAATAATAGAGGAGCGAGAATGCCACCTCGTGGGACGCCACAGTCGAGTTCAAGCCAACCTGAAGAGGATAAATCGACGCGGACAGACTGTTGACGCCCCTGAAGATAAGACGAGAACCAGTCCAGTGTAGCAGGCGCAATCATGAGATAGGACAGGATAGACAGAAGGATATCGTGACTGACGGAGTTGGAAGCATTTGGGATGTCAACCAAAGCCATAACTGTTACTTTGGATTTCTCGATTCCTGCTTGGATGTCGGCAGTCACTTTTAGCAGAGCAGAAGTTGTGCTATGCCCGGGCCTGAACCCCGATTGGAAAGGCCTTAGTAGGTTGTTTCGATAAATATGTTAGGATAGTTGTTGGTTCACACAGGCCTCGAGGACTTTAGATAGGAAGGGGAAAATGGAGATAGGGCGAAGGTGATTAAGGAGTTTTGGATTTGAGATCTTAGGAAGGGGAGTGACGAATGCTTTACGCCAAGCAGAGGGAAAATTCCCCGAGTCAGTGAAAAATTTGTTACATGCGTAAGCATAGGAAGAAGGTGATCGAGGATAGGAATGATCATGCGACGGTTACTGTTATCACTTCCCATTGCATTGGATTTGATTGAAAGGATTATCTTTTGACCACACCTGGTTCAACCGGGGAATACTCAAACTTCAATATTGGGACGAGGTTGATCTGC